TGAGGTAACGGGAACAGATTAACCCGTCCAGCCCCGCGGCCTGCGCCGGGGTCTCCGGGCCCTGAGGAGGAGCCGCAGCGAGGCGCCCCTGCCCGCCAGGGGTGTCCCTGCCCTGTCCCCCCTGCGTGTTGGGGCCGAGTGAGGGCTGGGCTCCCAGGACGGGCGGGGCTGGGGTGGGGGGCTGGGGGCCGGGATCTCTCCGGGGAAGCAGAGGGGTCCCCGCAGCGTCGTCCCGCCTGTTGGCACCGTTCCGGGCCCCGGTTAAGACTGGCCCTGTCGGGGAAGGACGTGCTCACACGGACAGGCTCCTTCCCGGCCCAGGCAGCTCCGCCTCCGCTCAGGCGTGCCCCACCCAGCCCCCGTCCCGGTCGCCGGCCTGGTGGAGCGGCGCTGGCCGAGGGCAGGGAGATGTGTGAGGCGACCACGGGGTCGACACCCTGCCCCGGCCTCAACCTGCGGCCTCCACGGCCCTTGGCCTCCGGTCCCGGCGTCGTGTTTTTAGCGTCTTTTTGAAGCGATGGTGCTAGGACCAGGGCCTCCACGCCTGATTCTCTCCGGAAAATTCTGTTCTCGGCCCACAGGCAGCAGCACAAAGTGGAGTTAAGCCGCCGCGCGTGGCCCCGGACGCCCGCCAGACGGGCGCGTGGAGCGTCTCCGGCCGTCCAGGCGGCTGAGCTTGTGGCGTTTGCGCTGAAGGGACGCTAGGGAGGGGTCAGGGACGGCCCGGGAGGCTGTGGACACAGTGCCACGGTGACGCCGAGTCCCCCTCCCCGACAACCAGAGTCAGGGGCCCCTGGGGTCCCCCCAGGAGAAACCAGGAGCCCTTCAGGCCTTGCTCTGCCAGAGGGACCCCGGCGCGGCGTGGGGTGCGGGGCCGCCCCACTGTGGGGCTTTGGCCGTTACCAGATTCCTTCCCGTCTCCGACCATGTGGCAGAAACACATATTTGGTGTCATGTTTGCAAACCTGTCTGTAGGGGACACCCTGGCGATGACCTGCGTTGTGAGCTGGACAGATGTCACCGGGCTCAGGCAGAAGCCAGCTCCCTGGACAGGCCCTGGGGCGCGAGGCCCAGTCCCCACACCCGGCCGAGGGCTGGCTTCACACCTGTCTTCCCTGCGTGTTGCAGCATGTTCTGTGGGAACCGCCCTGTCCCCTCGTGCCTCGGTTTCTTTGCACCTTCTTGTCACCCCGCCCCACCGTGGCGCTGGGTCCAGCCACAATACGTCCCATCGGCGACTGTTTCGGCGTCGGCCGGCCGCCTGGGCGCAGGAGTGGCCCGCCCAACAGCCCAGAGCCCGAGCTCCTTGGCCACGAGAGGGGCCGAGTGGCCGTCCACGCCAGGTGGGGGGCAGGGTCCAGGCGTGTCCACGGCTCGGGCCGGGCCCTGCAAGAGCAGCCTCGCGCCTGCCCGGCCTCCTGCCACTTCCGACGTCCGCACCGCGGTGCCGCCATGGAAACCACATGTCTAGCCCTGGAAAACACCATCTCCCTCCATGAATCACGCTCCCGGTTGGCAGGAAAAGTCCCCCGATGGCCGAGCAGTAAAAGGAAATAAAACTGTCTTTGTTCTGCAGACGCCGAGGGCCCTGGGCCTCCCTGTGTGCAGAGAAGGCGGCTCCCAGCGCCCACGCCCCGGGGGAGTCCGGACGCCCCGGAAACATCCGCGCTCACTCGGGAGGGGACTCCAGACCCGCCCCACCGCCTCTGGGTGGGGACCTGTCCCTGCCACAGCTCAGCCACCCCTGCCCCTCAGGGCTCGCAGACTTTTCATGGGGAGACGCGTCTGGGCAGAAGATTCCGGTGACTGTGCCCCAGGCCGGCCTCAGGCTGCACACGGGCTCCCTGTGCCCCAGTCCGGCCTGGCCCGCGTAGGGCGGGAGGGGCACACGGAGGTGCCGAGTGCGAGACTCACGTGCGAGTCCCTGCAGGAGCCGTGTTCTCCCGGGTCCCGCCCACGGCCCCAGCGGCAGGCAGCCTCCACAGCCTCCTTATCTAGAAAGTTCCATCCAGTGTAACATGGGGACGAGCCGGGGGAGGCTCACCCCATACCGGATGCCCTGGGGAGGACAGGGTGGGGACGGGGGTATCTAGCCCAGCCGTGGCCGGTGGCCTCAATCCGTCCCCAAGAGTCACCCAGCAGCGTGAGACTTGGGGCAGGTTAACCTGCCTCAGTTTCCCCAGTGAGACAAACGGGGGTGAGTTCTGCCCAGCTGCCCCCACGGCCGAGTGAGCCGGGCTGGGACGCACAGGCAGAAGCCGCGTGTGCACCGACAGGTGTTTGGCACGCGAACATGGGTCAGCAGCAGGAACGCGGCTTCAGACCACGCGCTCAGCTTCCCCTGGGCAGAGCCCCAATGGGGCAAAGGCCTCCCCGCCAGGCCCCCGGGCCCCAGCCCAGGCAGGGGGGCCCCAGAGCCCCTGGGGGCCGAGGAGTGCAGCTCCCACACCGCCCAGCGCCGTGGCAGGGCCAGGCCGGCACCGCTGTGTCCTCGGTGCTGCCGCCTGGTGGTGGCCGGGGGACGCCCCACACCCTAATCCTCAGCCCAGCGTGGGGTGCGGCTGGGGTCCTCCGCCACCTGCGTTCCTGTGGACACGGGTGCATGTTCCCAGGGCTGGGCACTCTGAGAGGTGAGGGCCCCCCCAAAACGGGAGACCCCAGGAGTCTGTGCACCTTTGCCTGGCACTCGCGGGGCCGTGCGGCTCAGCCGGTGAGGCCTGGTGTGTCCCCGCGGCCCGGGGGACAGGACCCGGCCCGAGGGTGTGCACGGGGCCCCAGCGAGCTGTCCCTGCCCCCGACTCCTCCTAAAGGCCCTGGCAGAGCGGCACTCCCACAGCCAGTCAGGAGGGCGACTGAGGCAGGGCCTGCCCAACCCAAGGGGCCTCACTCGGACCCACCTTGGGTGGAGGAGGAGGAAGGACCCAGCCCTGGGGCCGGGTCTGGGCGGTCTGTGTGCTGGGCTGCGCGGGGGCCGGTGGCCGTCCAGGCTGCCGCTGCCTGTGGCTCCGGTCTGTCCGGGACCGAAGTCTCCCTTTGCTGCTCTCCGGGCAGACAAAGGCAGTTTCCACTGGGATGTTCTTTCCTTCTGAATCCCACCCCTCACGCAGCTTTCTGAAACACTAAGACCATGGTGGAGACTGTCCCCTTCCCAGCACGTACTTTTCAAGGCACCAGAAGAATCGGCAGGGAGCTGGGAAGAGGGGCAGGGGCTCCTCTCTGGGGGACCCCAGGGTCCCAGCCCCCTCGGAGGCCGGCGCAGGGCTGGTCTGGCCTCCGCCTCCAGGGTGCAGATTCCCTGAAACGGCCCCACCCTCCTCAGCGTGGGGGACAACACTGTCCACAGTGCCCCTGGACCCTTCAAGGCCTCCTCCTCTTCCCTCCTCCAGCACTGAATGCTCCCGGCTGGGTCCCACCGCCTGGCCAGGCCCTGTTGGGTCACCCCTACAAACCCACAGTGGCCCCACCACTGCCCGCTGAAGACCCCCGGCCCCTCCGCACCTGAGCCACGCCACCCTCACGGCCCCACAGCCCCCGTGGAGGGGCCACGCCGCCCTCACGGCCCCCCAGCCCCCGTGGAGGGGCCACGCCGCCCTCACGGCCCACAGCCCCCGTGGAGGGGCCCCCCAGCCCCCGTGGAGGGGCCACGCCGCATCGTTTGCTGGCCGAGTCGATGGCGTCCTGCCAACTGATGCGTGAAATGCCTCCGCAAGGCAGGAACGGCAGTGAGGCCCCTGGAATCTGTCCCTGTGTGACGGGGCGTCCACGTGTCTCCCCTGTGACGGAAGCTGTGTCAGTCATCCCTGCTGCGTAACGAAGTGCCCGAGCCCGGCACGGCGGCCCTCGCTCGCCCCGCGGTTCTCTCTGCTCCCGCAGAACCACCCTCTGCGGATAAACGGCTCAGACCTGGAGCCGGGCGGGCGGGCAGGTGACGAGGCGTTTCGTAGAGCGGCCGAGACCCGTGTGGAGGCCCAGGAGCCGAGGCCACGGCACCAAACAGGCGGCGCCAAGCCCGACGCCCAGAGCCACGGTTCGGACGAAATCGGTGGCAGGTGCAATTGGCCCCACGATAAGCGCACACGCTCTATGAAGTAGGCTTGGGGAAAATACCGGAAGCGATCCTAGAGCCGTCGTCGTGGAGCACTGGAGTTACGATTTTCGAAGGCTCTCTCAAAAGCTTCTCTGAGATGGTCGTGTATATCTGTGTCTGCACGACGTGTGCTCTCGAACCACAGCGCGCTTAGGCTGCCAGCAGGCAGGTGTCAGAACAGGTCTGGCTACGTCTGCAGCCGCCCGGGACGGTGTCAGAGACCCACCCTCCCGCACGGCGCATGTGACCGTGCACACAGCTGTCACAGCACGTGTAACACGCACACGGATGTCACTTGGCACGTGTGACGGCGCACACGGATGTCACATGGCACGTGTGACCGTGCACACGGTTGTCGCACGTGTGATGGTGCACACGGTTGTCACATGGCACATGCAGCGGCACACACGGTTGTCACACGTGTGACGGCGCAGGGTTGTTGGGGCCACTTTGTTTTCCCAAAGTAAGAGTCCAAACACCTTTTGCAAATATGTACTTGAAGAAACTTACGTGAAAAAGAACCCAGAAATAGGACAGAACAACAAGTCTGAAACACTCGACAAACGGGTCCCACTTGCCCAGAGCAGTTAGCCGGGCCGGGCCGGGCTGAGCACGGACGGCCACTCCACGCGGAGGCGTCTGGATTGGAAATAACCAAAAACGTCCCAAGGAAATTCGCTTTGGGCTACGCTCTCTTTTTCAGACATTTTGTTTAAGTTTGGCTGCAGTTTTGTTCTACCTAACACGAGAACCACAGTCCGCTGTAAGCAAACAGAAGCTTCCGCAAACTGGGAAAGATAGAAGAATTCTTTGGCGGAACAGAGTCCTCGGCGGGAAGCGGCTGCGGAGAAGTTGCTTTTGCTTTCAGATGGTTCTAGAGACGCCTGCATGACTCACTCCCGGCTCCTCCTCCTCCCCACGGCCCGCCCTGCCCGCCCGGCTGCAGCTCGCGGAGAGCGGAGAGCCTCTCTCTGCGTCCTCGTCCTCGTCCTCCCAGGCAGCCCACCAGACCCGGCCCTCGCTGGACGGAGACTCGCAGGCCGCAGGCATGAGGCTGGCCGGCGCGCTGCTGCCCCTGCTGCTGCAGGCCTGCTGGGTGGCCCGGGGGGCCGCACAGGACGAGCAGGAGCCCACCAGGGCCATCGCCTTCCAGGGTGAGTGAGCTCCCTGCTTTCTCCGCTGGGGACCCAGGACCAGATGTGTCCGGCTGTGATGCCGCTTGTGGGGGCCCCGTGCTTGGGCCTGGCCGTGACACTGCAGCGCAGGGGTCTTGGGGGGCCGTCCCTGGGCCTGGCTGTGAGACTAGAGCAGGGGTCTTGGGGGGCTGTCCCTGAGCCTGGCTGTAAGACTAGATCGGGGTCTTGGGGGGCCCGTCCCTGGGCCTGGCTGTGAGACTAGAGCAGGGGTCTTGGGGGCTGTAAGACTAGATCGGGGTCTTGGGGGGCCGTCCCTGGGCCTGGCTGTGAGACTAGAGCAGGGGTCTTGGGGGGCCGTCCCTGGGCCTGGCTGTGAGACTAGAGCAGGGGTCTTGGTGGGGGTGTCCCTGAGCCTGGCTGTAAGACTAGATTGGGGTCTTGGGGGGCCCGTCCCTGAGCCTGGCTGTGAGACTAGATCGGGGTCTTGGGGGGCCATCCCTGGGCCTGGCTGTGAGACTAGATCAGGGTCTTGGGGGGCCGTCCCTGAGCCTGGCTGTAAGACTAGATCGGGGTCTTGGGGGGCCATCCCTGGGCCTGGCTGTGAGACTAGATCGGGGTCTTGGGGGGCCGTCCCTGAGCCTGGCTGTAAGACTAGATCGGGGTCTTGGGGGGCCGTCCCTGAGCCTGGCTGTGAGACTAGATCGGGGTCTTGGGGGCCGTCCCTGGGCCTGGCCGTGATGCTGCAGAGCGGGGCCTTACCCGAGCGCCTGGAGCTCCTGGCCTCAGCTCCCCGCCCAGGTGGCGGCAGGGTCTGGCTGTCCCCCAGCAATGCCTCCAGGCTCATGTCCCCCCGAGTGTCCCCATTCTCCAGGGGATGTCAGGCTGGCAAGTGGGGGGTCGCACCAGCTCCCTGAACTCTGGGAACGGGGAACGCCTGCCCCGAGGGCCAGAACTGTTCTTCCCTCAACTGGCAAGAGAAACCGTTACTGTTCTCACTCTCCTTTCTACGGAGGTTGTGCCCCGGGCGTTCTCAGTCCAACTCGGAAACTTAATGGGCGACTGCTCGTTTGTGCGTGTCGGGGCTGGCGTGGGGGCTGCTCTGCCTCCCCATGCTGGGGTCTGGCTCCCACCGCCCACGGGGGTGCTGGGCACCTCCATTGCTCGCTGCCTCGGCCAGGGGCTGCAGCCGGGGCAGACTGGGTGGGACAGACCTGCCCGGCGCAGGGCCGGAGCTCAAAGCCGCCCTCCCCTGGCGCAGACTGCCCCGTGGACCTGTTCTTCGTGCTGGACACGTCGGAGAGCGTGGCCCTGCGGCTGAAGCCCTACGGGGCCCTGGTGGACAAGGTCAAGGCCTTCACCAAGCGCTTCATCGACAACCTGCAGGACAGGTAGGCTGCCCGGCCGGGAACTGCCCGCCCCTGCGCTCCTGGGAGCCTCCCCGAGGGAGGGGCGCTGCCTGGGCCAGCGAGTCGGCCTCAACTTCCCCGTCTGGGAAGGGCGCGTGCTGCCGACGTCCGTCCCCTGAGGTCAGGTCAGGGACCCCGGTCAGCGGGAGGGTGAGGTGGAAGTTCGGAGACTGGGGTCCCAGCAGGCAAAGGCAGGTCGGAAGTCGTGGCTCCCCGTGAGCAAACTGAGTTTGGGGAGTGGGCGGTGCCTGGGGGCTCCTCACAGCCTGGGGCCCGTGACCTCCGCAGCCTCGGGGGCCACCAGCTTGGCTGTGGGGTTGGATCAAGGCACGTGTCATTCATTCATTCATTCACGCAGGCACCCATTCATTTCTCCACCCTTGGGAGCTGGGGCAGTGGGTGTGGCCAAGGGCAGGATGCGGCCTGGGGGTGGGGCTGTGGGTGGGGCCTTGTGAGGCCACGCCCCCGCCTGCACCAGGGGCCCCGCCCTGCACCGAGACCCCGCTGACTGGCTGCCCAGGACCCTGAGCCTCCTGCCACCGGGAGGGGCCATAGACAGGTCACCTGTGATACCAGGGCAGACCCTCCCACCTGGGGTTGCCCAGGGCAGGAGGCTTTGGCACCAGAAACCTCAAACTTAGTGGAAATGCCCAGGCCCCCCAGGTGCAGAAGGAAGGGCGCAGATGTGGTTGGTGCCTGGCGTCCCCTTGAGGTGCCTCAGGATCTTCATTCAGGCGCCCCATGCCTCAGTTTCCCAACCAGTGAAATGGAGTAGGGTGGTCCTGACACCACTGCTATTGGTGACACCCCAGGAGGCTCCGTCACTGTCTGCCTCGTGGCCAGGCGGGGCCACCAGGCCCCTGCAGAGCAAGCCCGGGGCCTCAGGACGCTGCTCAGCCCCACCCGGGGGCCGTCCCATATAGGGCTAACCCTCCTGCTCCCACTCTGTGTCCCCCGCCGTCCTCCAGGGTCCTGTCCCCACCCGCACGCAGCTCCTCTGGGGGAGCCGAGGGTGGGGCCCCCGTCATGTGTCTCAGGGCCGGGAAGCCCAGCGCGGGGCGGGGCAGTCTGTCCGTCTGTGACAGGTGGCGCCGTGGCCTCCTCAGTGGCAGTGGGGGCGTGCCACGGGCCCCCGCCTCCGCCTCACCCCTCCCGCGCGGCCGCAGGTACTACCGCTGTGACCGCAACCTGGTGTGGAACGCGGGCGCGCTGCACTACAGCGACGAGGTGGAGATCATCAGCGGGCTCTCGCGCATGCCGGCCGGCCGCGACGCGCTCAAGGCCAGCGTGGACGCGGTCAAGACTTCGGCAAGGGCACCTACACCGACTGCGCCATCAAGAAGGGGCTGGAGGAGCTGCTGGTGGGGTGAGTGGCCCGGTCTCCCGCGCCGCCGGGACGCGGGGCAGGGGTGTCCCCGGAGCGGGCGCGCCCGGCGGCCGGTCTGACGCCGCGCTCTGCCCAGGGGCTCCCACCTGAAGGAGAACAAGTACCTGATCGTGGTGACGGACGGGCACCCCCTGGAGGGCTACAAGGAGCCGTGCGGAGGCGGCCTGGAGGACGCCGTGAACGAGGCCAAGCACCTGGGCGTCAAAGTCTTCTCAGTGGCTATTACGCCCGAACTGGTGGGCGCTCACCCACCGCCCCCTCCCACCCTCGAGCCCCACCCAGCCCCCTCCCCCACCCGCCCCCATCCCCACAGGCCCCACCCGCCCCACCGCCATGCACGCCCCACCCCGCCCCACCCACGCCCGCCCCCACCCTGCCCACAGGCCCCCACCCACGCCCCCCACCGCCCCACCCGCCCCACCACGCACGCCCCACCTGCCCCACAGGCCCCACCCGCCACCCAACCACGCCCCACCCACGCCACCAGCACGCCCCACCCACACCGCCCCACCACGCCCCCCACCCCACCTGCAGGCCCACCAGCCACCCACACGACGCCCCACACGCCCCACCCACACACGCCGACCCGCCCAGCCCACACCACGCCCCCCCACGCCCCACACCACGCCCACCACGGCCCACACACCCCGCCTCACCCACCCAACACATCCCCCCCACGCCACCCCCCCACGCCCCACCAGCCCCACACGCCCAGCTACACCACGCCCTGCCCCCACAACACATCACGCCTCACCCTCCCCACGCCCGCCCCACAGGCCCCACCCGCACCCTCACACCCACCCCCCATACCCGCTACGCCACGCCACTGCCCACAACAATCACGCCAGCCATCCCACGCCACGCCCGCGCACGCAGACGCCCGGCGCACATGCGCACACGGAGCGCCGGTGCTAGGCCTCCAGGCTGAGACCCCCTTGCGGCCCGGGGAGGGGGACGCGGGAGCCGGGGTGACCCCGGCCGGCTCGCCGCTAACCCGCGTGGCCTCCCCCAGGAGCCGCGCCTGAGCATCATTGCCACGGACCACTCGTACCGGCGCAACTTCACGGCGGCGCCGGACTGGGGCAGCAGCCGCGGTCGCGGGGAGGCATGCGCAGCACATCGGACCTCACGGACATGATCGTGAGCGCAAGCGGGCGGCGACAGAGGTGCGGGACGGAGCGCGGGTCGTTGCGGGGGGGGGCGGTGCCGCGCCCCTGGGGAGTGACCGCGTCTTCCCCCGTTCGCTTTCCAGAAAAACAATGTGGAGCAAAGTGGTGAGAGGCCCTCCCCGCCGCGGTCCGGCCGCCGGTTCGTGTCCCAGGGCGTAGTGTTCCGTGTTGGGTGCATGGTGCAATGTCCCTGTCTGTGTCAGGGTGCATGTCCCTGTTGGGTTGCATGTCCCTGTCCATGTCCAGGGCGTGTGTCTGTATCGGGTGCTGTCTGTCGCGTTGTCAGGGTGGCATGTCCATGTCGGGTTGCATGTCAGTGTCCATGTCAGGGTGCATGTCCTTGTCCGTGTCGGTGTCAGGGTCTGGGTGCATGTCGATTTGGAGGTCCTGCCGTGTCCGGTCAGTCTGAGGTCCATTGTCCGCGGAGCATGTCTGCTGTCCAGGACATTGTCCGTGTCCGTGTCCGTGTCTGGGTCTAGTCTGGCAGAGGAGGTGTGTGTCCAGGGCGTGTGTCGGGGTGCATGTCCTGGGCACATGGTCTGTGTCCGGGGCTCTGTCCATGTCCAGGGACACTTGTCCGTGCTGGGTCTGGGTCTGTGTCAGCGGCTGCCATGTCCGGTGTCTGTGTCCATGTGTCCATGTCCCAGGGCCACTGTCTGTGTCTGGGTCCATGGCTTGGGCGGCGTGTCATCGTCCGTGTCTGTGTCCATGTCTGGTCTGGGTCCATGTCCGTGTCTGTGTCTATGTCCGTGTCTGTGTCCATGTCCGGTGTCTATGTCCCATGTCCTGTCTGATGTCCATGTCCGTGTCTGTGTCCATGTCTGCATCTGTGTCCATGTCCGTGTCTGTGTCCATGTCCGTGTCTGTGTCCATGTCCGTGTTCTGTGTCCATGTCATGTCCCCCCAGGGGGTGGCACATTTCCATTGTCTAGGGCACATGTCTGTGTCTGGGTCCAGGTCTGCGGGCATGTCATCATGGTCCGTGTCTGTGTCCATTTCTAGGGTCTGGGTCCATGTCCGTTCGTCGTCGTCGGTGATTTTGTCCAGTCGTGTCTAGTGATCCATGGGTCCCGTGTCTATGTCCATGGTCCGGTGTCTTATGTCTATGTCGA